GACCAGTTCATATGTAATCCGTCTATGCTTAGACAGCCTTTGGATGAAGGTGAGACAAAGCAGTACAATGATAGACACACGGATTCGTATCATTAACCACTGATTCCTTCCATTCTTATTCCCATCAGGTGATCCCCACTCATCTCATCCTCCAATTTATGTGCACTCTTTGTCCGTTGTACACTCTTGGGATTGCAAATTCCTTCAATACATATGTGTTGGTGATCGTTAAGTCTTGTTTGGGCTATGTATTAGGTAGTTTTGATGCGTATGAACATGAACAGTAGGGTGTGTTGGGATATATTATATGTATGGGGCTGCGGCAGTGTCTGTCTGTCTGTGTCTGTGTGTGACCTGAGAGAGCATGCATGTACGCGTGCGCTTCCCCTACTCCAAACTCTATGCTTTGCTTTGCAGCGAATTGTCATGCCCCCTTTCTCCCCTCTAAATTCAAAATTAGTTCATATTTGCTGATCCACCACCAGCACAGTACTGTTAAGCAATCCCATATACACATATATACTTGCGGCTGGAGAGAGAGATACATAGATGGTGGCTTATTAATCGGTTAATAATACGTATTTGTTGGGGCCAATGCTAATTAAATGCAGAAAGAGTCACTAGCAGTTTACTGTGCGTGCACGCCTGCTTCATACACAAACAAACACTTACACAACTGCTGCTTTGTCGCAGATTCAGCAGGACAAAAGCCAAATGACAACTTCTTCTACTGTGTTTGGAAGGTCCTACTCTCTCTCGTGTTCTCCGCCACACTTCTCCCCCTCATTATTGTTTTCTTTCATCTCTCTCAACTGTACACCCATCAATATATATATACGGAATTGTTTGCCTCAAATGGTACCCACACCCTGTCCTTCTCCCCCCCCCCCCCGGGAATTTATTTATTTGCCTTTAATTTGTTTCCTTCATAATTAACTCCTTTGAATTCCCTCCTTCTCCCTCTAGTTATTAATTAATCACTATACCATTTCACTACTCATAATCCGACTTCTACTTCGTTTAAATGAGATATATAAACAAAGCTTCCAGTTACATGTAATGAAGGAGAGATATAAACAAACAAACAAAATGTCATGCCCAATACTGCTTCATGTGGATTATTTTACTGATTCAAATTAAACTGCAAGGTGATACGACCATACTCACACACACTACTAGCACTAATACACACATTAATTTATCGCACTCTCATTTTCGTTCAACATGTACAGGCCTTACAATTAATCAGTATGATATAGATACAAAATACTACCTCCGGTCCTAATTATAAGAGCCAGTTGACTAATTTGAAGATATTAAGGAAACAAGTTGAATTAGTTATTTGTCCTAAATAGGTGTTGTTTTTTCTAAGATATCCTTACTAATCAAATGTATTGATTAGAACTATCATTGTTAGAAGGGCTACTTTGAAAAAAAATGTATAAATATGAGAGACAAAGTGGATTGGGGTCTTATATTTAGGACCAAAATAAAAGTCAAATAGGGTCTTATATTAAGGAACGGGAGTAGTATAAATTATTGAATTAATCTATAACTTGACGTCTTGCGTACGTGGTTATCCATTCCTGGTCGTGTTTCTTCAAGTTACGAATTAGATTTTGATATGGAATTGCTTTTATATATATAAGATTCAATATACAGTCATGGATGGAAAACTTATAAAAGAACGTTATATTGGAGTAGTAATAACACTTCCTTAATTCAGCACGGCAGTACCGGCCACTAGGCAATGTCGAGCAAAATAAGTTGAGAAAACCAGTTTTAATTTGCACCCTGAATGCATTTAAACTTGCGCCCGTATCAGTCAGAAGGAGCACAAATCTTCAAAGCATTTTCAACGGAGAATTATTGAAGCAGAGAAAAGGAAGTGCGTTAAGTAGTAGTAGTGGGAAAGCCGCATTTTTTGCTAGGTAGGAAGAGAAGTGTACGAAAGTTAGATGTAATTGAGAAGAAATTCTCATTATACATATGGTGCTGTCGGACGAGGAGGCCAATTTTGATTGCCTAGCAAGATACGCTTTCAAAGTGTGCCGTAACTTTGGGGGACGTACCCACAAGCACATTAAAATGATATCAAACGCGCTGTGTATGTGTGTGTGGGCGATGCCTATAGCTATATTAAGGGGGTTATTTTAATTAATTAGGTCTTTGGGTGGTGTCATTTTGGCTGCTTCGATGGGTAGATGGATAATAACTAAATGAATGTAGCTTTTGTGATTAAAATAGAAAGTACTAGATATGCGGACAAGGCCAGACAGATTATTGTTGATGAACAAAAAACTGCAAGCACTTCAAAAGCTCAACTTGTGCACAAATTAAAAACCGAGCCAAGTGCAGTAAATTCAGAATATGCAGCACAATATATCATATTGTTGCCTTTTTTATATATATTTTAGAGTCTATGTTGTTAATCACACCTAAAAGATTATTACCTATACGTACACCAAAATAGATGACCTTTTTATATTGTTGTAATTAAAATACTCACCACATATTTATATAGTTGTAATTAATCATCTAATCAGTTGATGTGAGAGAATTATATATCACGGCTATAGGATAAGGCATGATATGAATATATATATATATATATATAGAAATATTCTCATGCATCATTCCCCAGCGAAGATTTACAGCCATATTGGCCTCTATAAATACTTGGATGAGAAGGCAGCAATCAGATGCTTATCACGTCACTTGCCTCCTTTTCATTTTCTTCGACATTCAGAGGCTATGCAAAGCACTCGGCAGTTTCTTCAGAAAGAAATGCCCACAGAATGGAATTTTGTTTTTGATCGGGGCTTTGGATTATGTAGCATGCCTGATCAAACTACCTAATATAACATCTATTATTATGCATTATCATCGTCATCATGACTATCTAATCCTCGTTGATATTTTCTATTTTTCAACAAACTAATGTTTATCATTATTTTTTAAAAAAAGTCCTAAAAATCTCATTCTTTTCATACACATTATATCAAATGTAATTATTTAACTTAAAGTTATATTTCACTTGTTCTCGGTTTCATACCTCGGATGGATATATATATATATATATATATAGTACGCAAGCAATGTTTTTATTCTCTTGTTAATTAATGTGAGAACAGGATGACATCAAGATAAATTTACAGCCATCAGTCTATGACATCCTAATAATGAAATTGATAGATCGTCAAAGAGTAATATATCATTTCGAATCAGCGTTTTATGTGACCCATTTTATATTCATATTTCAATCATAATTATCTCACAAAAATTTTAACGGAAAAAATAAAAACATCATATGGATTTTTCAAAAAAAAGAATTGTAGGAAAAAAAAATGTTATATGAATGAAGGGGATATATAGCCAATCACTTTCTAACTGATTCACGAAAATTCATAAAATAGTTATCATGGGTAACACATATAACCAAACTTAAATTGTGTATTATAAATTTGAGAAACATAATACCAGTTGCCATTATATATCTAATAAAAGCAGATAGCGTCTGAGAACAAGTGACAAAATATGCAAGATAATACTACCTCTGGTCCTTAATATAAGACCCTGTTTGACTTTTATTTTGGTCCTAAATATAAGACCCCAATCCATTTTGTCTCTCATATTTACTCAATTTTTTTTCCAAGATAATCCTTTTAATAATTATAGTTCTAGTTAATACACTTGATTAATAAGGATATTTTAGGAAAAACAACACCTATTTAGGATAAATAACTAACTCAACTTACTTTCTTAATCTCCTCAAATTAGTCAACTGACTCTTATAATTAGGACCGGAGGTAGTAGTATGGTGCATACAGCAAATCAAAGGTATTTCATGATTCATAGTGCTTGACTATTCATGTGATACCCAAGAGACCGGGTCACAGTATATGATATGCAAAATTAACAGTTAGTTACACAATGGGTACGAACATGCATATTTAAACAGCAAGTATAGGAATAAATTTCAATAAATGCGAATTCCCAGCAACATAGAGAAGTGGATGTGTACCTTAGCTTGCCCAGCAAAACAGTTTCACATTAAAAAGCTCACGCTGAGACGCAAGCAGTTAGTAAAAAGATTACTTTTAGCAACATATAGCTTTCAAATTACGAACAAAGTGAAAACAAAAAATAGAGGTAAGAGGCGGAAAGATCTTCTGATTCAGATGGAGAGGCACAACTACATGTTTTAATTATGAATGTAAATACGGTTCATTGTAAGAGAGAATTCCAAGTTTTATTGCAAAAATTATGATTCAGGTAAACAATTTAAAAAATTATTTTAAGAATGCCAGGTCAACAGGAAGCTAAAGCTCCTGGAAAATGTACATGCAGGAAATAGAGAGTGCAGGAATCTTCACTGAGACACTGGCCAACATCCGATGAGTTTAGGCCAAATATTAAAAGAGGGGGGTAATAAAGAAATATTGATCAGAAATACAACAGGATTTTAGGCTTTTAGCTGTTTCTTTTTTTTTTTTTTTTTGCCCCCTGCGGTAACTCGGTAAGGGGCCTAAAAAGGCAAGGGGGACAAGAAAGAGGATTACATGGGAGGAGATAGTGCCAATATTTTAACTAGTCATGTGTGGTCACACTCATTGTTGCATTCATGCAAGACAACCAATCAATTTGTCCACTGCCACATGATTTCGAATTAAATATTATTCAGCCCCCCAAAACAATTGCCAATGAATCAAAAGTCTTCCCTGGCCTAAATATAACGCTGGAAGGAGGGCAAAAACATTATATTAGGTGGGAAGAGGAGAGAAAAGAAAGAGAGAGAGATCATATGATGTATTAATTATTAATTAACAGAAAAATAAGTAAATAATTGTATCCAAGAGAACCCTTAAAAATTAACAAAAAAGGGGGGGAAAAAAGGAGTAGAAACGGCTCCCTATGCAGAAATTAACAAGAGACGTAAATAATATGGGTCATGAGAAGAAAGGCGAGAAGTGGGAGTGGGACAAAGAAAAGAAATAAAGGGAGCACAATAAATTGGCCGTGAAATTAGCTGAGCTAGGGGTCAGTAAATACAAAGCAAGGAGTTGACAGGAGAAGGAATAGCGATGAAAAGATTGACCTGCGTCTCGTCGTCTCCGTTGAGCCCTCTTTATTAAAAAAAAAAAAAACTTATTAGATTCCTCTTGTCTCTCTCTCTCTCTCATCCCTCCCCCCTACCAAACTGCACTTCCGTTCCTGAATTCTGACCATTCAAATGCCTACAAAAACACCAACCAAAACATTAAAAAAACGGCTCGCACAAACCAGCGAGCCGAAAAGGCCAGTGACCCGGTGAATATTTCAACTGACCATCGAAGAAATTTCTACGATCCATCCATCATTCATCCATCCACTCGTGTCTTCTCTCTCTCTCTTTCCACACCCATGGTTGGCAACTAAATTCTATTCTAAATTCATATATATATATATATATATGAGTAGATTTCATAGAATTATCATTCTCAGTTTATAGCTAAAAATCATGGGAGTGATGGTGGTGGTACATTGTTGGGTCACATCCGCCTCCTTGCGAACCATGACGGTTCATGGGATCCCTGTGGCTATCGTCATCTCCGTCCAGTCTGGAAACTATTTGACCCGAAGCCGCCGCACCCAGATTCAGATAAACCAACCTAGAGTCCAGGTTCAGGTTGCTGCTGCTCCCACTGCTATGATCTTCACTTAGTGGCGGATATATGGCCGTTGATGTGGGAGGATTCGCATTTCCTTCTTCGCGAGATATCACTAGAGCCGCCGATTGAACCAGTTCCAAGCACAGCCTCAGCTTGTTGGGTTCGATGTGGGTTAGCCCAGGTACAGCCCCTTTGAAAAGGAAATCTGAAGTTAGGGTTCTGAGGATGTCGAGTGGGGTCACACCATCGACGGTCCGGACATTCGGATCAGCATGGTGGTCCAAGAGCACTGCCACCATGTCCGGCGATACCATCTCTGATGCAATGTGAAGCGGAGTTTTCCCGGAAGGCCCGGCTGGATAGTTGACATCGGCCGCCCCAAGCTCCAGCAATGCTTTCACCACTTCTCGGCTGCAATTCTCTACGGCGTAGTGCAAGCCCAATGCTTCGTCTAGATTTAAGCCTTCCCCCATTACCATCAGCTTAACCAGCTCGACATCCGAGGAGTCCAGTGCTCTCTTCATTCGCCGGATTTTCTGGTCCTCGAGGTCGGCCACGCGGATATCCGGGTGGTGATAGGGCAATAGAGAGCGGCGAATGTAGGAGGATTTGAGACGAATCTCTTCAATCTTAGCAACGACGTCGATGGGAAGGTGTTTGGCGAGGACTTCGGGCGGGAGACCTGACTTGGCAACGAGGTGGGAGCAAGTGGCCCACAGCTGGTGCATGTCTTGCTTTCTTGATGCTACCAGTACTTTCATTACATCTTCAATGGACGCCTTCTCTACCATACTCGCTAACTGTTTCTGTCAATGTTTATTGCCCAAACAAGCAAACCAAAAATGTGGGTGAGAAACTTTGCATTCCAAGCCTTCACAGCTTATAACACATGTAAAAAGACACACGAGAGGTGAGGGGAGAGGACCAATTTGATAAGATGTTTGCTAAAATTACGTTAACCTTTCTGCTGTGTCTTGTTCTCTTTTCCAGTCCCAAATCCTATTGAGGAAAGTGAACGCGTTTGAGAAAGATTTCATGTGCTTACTGTGGAAGACAAGAGTGGCATACAATGATCTAAATTTAGAAACTCTTTTGTTATGCGTTATAACGGGTATCGGATACAGAAACGAACCAATACGAGAAACTTCAAGGTACTCAAAAACCAAAATCAAGGGACATGAAGGTAATTGTGAGGGCTTTAATTTACCCAGAATGCAGCCAAAAGAAACTGATACGTGAAAAGATATCCCCCAAGAAAACAAAAAGAGAAGCAGCTATGAAAAACTCAAAACCGGGTCTTTGATGACGGGAATCGAAGGCGTGAGTGGGCAGGAGGATTGTTGAAATCTATAGAGGAGCAGAAATAGAACTGAGAGACACTTACAAACGCCTGACAAGCAAAAGCACCCGGCCAGAAAAGTGAGAGACCTTAGCGCTATAACCGACTGCTGAATGATTAAGCACGGAATTGAACTAATCTTACCCACTTCCTCATAAGATAATAGAATTACCCATAGGATTAAGTATTTAATTTTTCTGAACGCTTAAAGTACCCCTTGTCACTGCCCAAAATTCAGACCCAGTAATTGTTGAAATTCCCAAGACCCACAAACATACGACTGGTCACCCTAACCAGAGAGAAATGGCAGAGTGAAACAGTGACGACGATGCAGGTGATAAGAGAGAAGTTTCACCTGGGTGAGCAATGCAAGCTGTTCGACGCCAAAAGATCTGGCGGCAGCAAGAGTGTCGAGAGCAAGATCAACGGCGGAGGTGCAATGCGTGTGCCAACATCCTCGCTCGCCACAATTGGGCCGGGGCTCGTGCTTCTGAGGCACAATAGAGACCTGGCCGCTGTACAGAAACTGAAGAAGCAACAGGAATACCTCGTACCCGACTGAGTTCACCGGAATGATCCCAGGCCTCGGGCCGCAGGCAGCCGAGTTGACCCGAGAGCTGGCCGGGTCTAACCCCGACGGAGGGTCCGGTGCACAGAAGAATTTCCTGAAGAAGAGGCTTCGAGCAGCGAGGATGCATCGATGAGCGTGGACGAGACGACCCTCGACGCTGAAGGTGACGTCACTGAAGGCCTGGCCGTTGATGAGGAGGTTGAGGTAGTCCAGGGAAAGAGATCTTAGAGAATCTTCGAGGGACATGGTGGAGCTCCTTTAGGGTTGATGATCAAGGGAGAGAAATCAGGCTGAGAGAGAGAAAGAAACAGTAGAGGACAGGGACAGAGAAAGTGAGAGGGAGAGATTAAGCGAAGTGAGGGGATTGAAATAGTGAGAAGAGGAAGAAGGTTGGGTTCATTGGGTCGATGATGATGGTACTTACTGTTATTGTTGTTTTGATGGGATTCTCTGAGCGAATGGGGGGGCTCTGGCTGTGGCTTTGTGTGTTGTGTATCGATAGATATTTTGAAAGAGAAAAAGAAGAGAGAAAGAGAGATGCAGACAGAGCAATTTGGGTGGCTATTCTGGGCGGCTGTGGGTTTATAAAAGAATTCCAGAATTGAATTTTTTAAAAAAATCTTACAATTAATTTTTTCTGTTATTTTAATATATTTATTTTGTCTACATATAACATCCACATAAGCAAATAACTCTGTAGAGACTGGAGATTAATTAGGGACATATGCAGAGAAGGAGAAGTAACATGCGAACGTTGATAAAACATTTATTAGACTATTGTCTACTGTGCATCGCTAGGACAAATTAATTAATACGGTTTTTAAAAAAATATATTAAAATTTACCTTGCCTTGTAATTGTACTAGTATTGCATCCGATACTATTACTGGTCTCAGGCAATCAGTCCCTGTTTATTCGTACTCATTTTTGTTCTAATGTAACAAGATTTTAGAATTTCAATATTGTTACATATTTTTTTAAAAAATCTATTATTTCATACTACCTCTGGTCCTTAATATAAGACCCTGTTTGATTTTTATGTTGGTCATAAATATAAGACCCCAATCTATTTTGTCTCTCATATTTATTCAATTTTTTCTAAAATAGTACTTCTAATAATTATAGTTTTAACTAATACATTTGATTAATAAGATATTTTAGAAAATACAACACATGTTTATTACAAATAACTAACTTAACTTTTTTTTAATTTTTTCAAATTAGTCAATTAATTTTTATAATTAGGACCGGAGCTAGTGTGATACAATAGTAACCCATTCACTTTGTATACATATATGTATGTAGGTTCTAAGGAAGCAATATTTTCGTCACAATGGGTTATACTATTTTAAGTTTTCAAAAAAAAAAAAGATTTACAGCGGTTAGTGCAAAAATAAGTCATATATACTTTAAATCAACTGACTTTGATATTATTAACATTTTATATTGATGTCTACTTATCAAAACCAAAGTTGGTAATTTATTTTAGCTTGATTGAATTTTGACCCCTTGATCAATACAATTATAGTTCCTTCTTATATATGATTTTTATCAGTCACAAAATGGCTGCAGGCTTGATGAAAGAGAAAAGGCAATCATTTTTCGCATTGACCCGAATTTGAAAAACGAAAAAAAAAAAAACGACATCGAGAACCCGTGTGTTGTCAAATTTTTTGGACCTTGGATTCGCCACGAATATTATTTCGAACAGAAAATATTTATAATTTTTATCAAGACATTTAGGAAATCCATAATAACTATGTAACTTTTTCAAATAAGTATGCTACTTTTTAGAGCACAGCATTATATGATTTTCCCCCCAACAAGGTATGACAATTCATGTGTTATAGTTCTGCAAATGCAAACTTAAAAAAATTGCTTAACAGCAACCGTTTATCTTTTTATCGTAAAACCCTCTTAATTAGGGTCTTCGTGTACTCCGTTTTATCTTGATATAAGTTGATTTTGGATTTTAAAAAAAAGTCAAATTAATATCCGCACCTGTCACTGAAAGCAAATACAGAAAATTTTTTGGGGTTAATAACGGATTACTATTGGCTCCCTGTTCAGCGAATCAACGGAACTTTTTCGGGTTCAAAAAATTTTAATGATGGAAAAAAAAACAATTATCAACACCTCTTTAAATTTAAACTATCCCCAACACACTCTCCGACTCAAATCTTTTTGTTATTTTAAACAATTAAATTACTTTGCCAAAAAAAAAACTATTAGGTTAGTATTGCGTTAAATAGATTATAATTTAAAATATTTTAGAATATTAGTTTTACCGCTCTAACATCCAAACCTTAGATATATTAAAAAAACTGAAAGGATTGAAATAATTTACAAGAGATGTAAAGAAACATGATACGAAGAAGGCTTTTGGCTTTACCAGCAGGCTTTTATTTATGCTGCTTAATAAATTAAGTAGTACCTGTTATGATTTATTTCGTTTGTTGCTGATTCTGCCAAAAATAATATCTTGTTCGTGCAAAAAAGGAAGATGATGCTCGATCTAAGACGACCAAAATTTAGTTTATTAAGAGCAAATAATGCCTCTGGTATTTAAGAAGAAAAAAAGAAGAAGCAAACAGTGCCGGCCCGAATAACAATGAATCAACTTTGGTCAAAAAAAGAATAACAATGAATCAACATTTGAAAATACAATTAAGCAAATTTAATATTTTGATTGAATTATATCTATTTTGTCTTGTGGTTTGCTTTCCCAATCTAGACCTTAAAAATACCAATAAAATAAGAAGAATAAGGACCAGTTTTTTTTTTTTAATATGAGAATAAGAACTTATGTGTATTACTCTCTGGATATCGATCATCATGGTTGGTCCCAGTCATCACTTGCATTTATTAGAAGACCGTATACATTATTCCTTTTTCCATCATCAGATTGCTTATCTCTTGATATTACAATATTATTTATAGGACATTCAAAAGCTCATCCTCTCCTTTTTCTTAATGTTTTTAAAATACTACCTCCGGTCCTAATTATAAAAGCTAGTTAACTAACTTGAGGAGATTAAGAAAAAAAGTTAAGTTAATTATTCGTAATAAATATGTGTTGTTTTTTTTCTAAAATATCCTTACTCATCAAGTGTATTGGTTAGAACTATTATTGTTAGAAAAATTATCTTGAAAAAAAATGTATAAATATGAGAAACAAGATGGGTTAGGATCTTATATCGAGGATCAAAATAAAAGTTAAACAATATCTTATATCAAGAATCGGGGGTAGTAGCATATAAGAATCTGCACATGCAATTTTTAAATCCTTCTCATGAGATTTATGACTTGAACATGCATGATAATACATAAATCTATATTAATAATTCCTTAATTAAAACCAGACAACTCTCATCTGCTAGTTAAGAAACAATTAGTTAATTTTTCATTGATTGGCATAATTTATGATCAGTTAACTAATAACCATCTCATTATCATTTTGAGATGCTTGTTCATACGTCAAATAAAATCTGCCATGTGATGGCTGTGAGCATCGGATCGGAGATGGAATAACCAATTAATCACTTCTTTTGGGAATTTTGTATCCAGAATAATAAAATAAAATAAGCATCAAATTATTCCATATCTTGCATACGTTAGGATTTAAAAATTATGGCAGTCCAAAGTAACCAAAAAAGGGGTCTATCCATCACCGCCAGGCCAACTGCTCACGGGACTCCTGGTTCAATGTTATGCACATAGCAGAAAACTAATGGCGATTCAAAACCATACCCCTTACTTTCTATGAATTAAATAAAATCATGTCGCTGGCAAAAAAAAAAAAAGAATTGAATAAAAACATAACAAATAAATCATACTATCAATCACTTATAAGTAATAATTTTTTTCATAATTTTTTATCTGGCATCAATATATTGGTATTGATGATTTAATTCAAATTAATATTATTTTATTACAATAAAAAAAAGGAAGAGAAAAGGACGTGGAATCCGAATACGAAAGCTTGTCAATTATGAAAGAGACATATAAAAATGAGCACAAGCTTACGGAATATGATATGTGCAAAAAAACGTGTCGGCCGGGTCTTCTAATTGGGAAGTCCTCTCCTTTTAAAATTTAAATTAAGTTCCAGGTTATTGAATACTCATACTAATAATTCATAAAAAAAGAGTTATTTCATACATATAATTGGAGGGTCGTACGTGTACAAAATGCAAACGATCGCCGCATGCTTGCTATCTCAGCGATTTTTTTTTTTTGCCAAAATAACAAGCAAAAAAATACCGTATAAGTATTTTTGTTTTCTTTACAGGCCGAGTTTTTGGTTTACTGTCGATGTGCTTAAAATATTACTCCCTCTATTCTTTATAGAGAACTAATAATTTTTATAAATTGTAATTTTTATTAGATGTGATTAACCATGTAAATTTAAAACATTAGTTATTTTTATAAAATGTAAATATTATTTTTAAATCGGTGTTTATAAAATGAACTACTACCTCTGATCTTTATAGGAGCTAGCTGTAGAGTTGAATTTAATCATAAATATCAAACAATAATTCACTTTATCTCTTATTTTTTTTCAAAATATTCTTATTAATTACAGGAGATTTGTATGGAGAGAGAGAATTTAAATCACCTAATACTCATCATTTAAAAAATAGTTTAAAAAATAATTATATATTTAAAACAAATAACTAACTTAATTAATTATTTTAATATTTTTGAATTTGTTATTTCGCTATTATATTAAGCAGCCATGATACGAGCCAGCGTCGCAGGTGGTGCGTGTGATAAGCAAAACACAGTGCATTATCACGGTTAACTAGGACCGCCTGTGGAAATCAGGGGCATGCGCTGCTCGTGAAAAATGCAATTGTTAGTTTGGTGAAGGAAAAAACAAAGAAACATTTGTTGAAATTCGAGTGTCTTTTTTTTTAATTTCTAAAATCAAATGAAGCTTTTTTAAACTCTATCTGTTTCACTGATAAAACAATATTATTATTCATAAGTGAATTTTTATCGAGTTAATATGCATGATTAAAAAATGAAATGTTGACACTTTAGATATAAGCCATTCTAAACAGACTTTAACTGAAAAAAGAAAAACATGGAATGGTTATTTCTTTAGGCGCGTGATAGTTACATGATTTATTTTCCAATTAATGTGTTTAGTTGAAGATAATATGAATTTGAAGGTTGTAAAATATTGGGAAAACTCCTGGTCAAGAAAAAATTGGGAAAACAGAAAAAAAATTACATTTAAAAATTTTATTGGTGAAAATAGCCTAAATTAAAATAGATTGCTCAATGTGTACAAAAATCATAAAATATAAAGTCTCTTGAGTATGGATTTTTTTTTTTTGCGTGGATGTGTATAAAAGTTTATCATGCTATTGTTATCAATAAAATTTTTAGTGGCAACTCTTCTTGGATTCCTCCTAAAATATTTTTCTTTCTTTATATAATTCTTTCAAACTAATATAGTTATTC